AAATAGCCCGTGACTTTGGTGGATGCTTGTTAAAACACTTCACCTACTGAAACACTGATGGAGTCAGTTTTCAACTAATAGCATACAACCTAGTGATTTTATTACCAAAAAAAGAAAAATCTCACTGTTAATCCACTACATACAAATCACAGCAAATCAAATCCAGCTGTGCAGGGAGGATCCTACATGCACTTTGCTTTTTTAGCAGAGAGCAAAACAGAACAGGGGCCTGCTCACCCAGCAGAGCAGACCCCTCGAGCCCGTGTGACGGCACTCTCGCCTGTCTGGGGACAGTTCTCTGCACAAGCAAGTACAGCGCTAGCGAGCTGGTGGAAACAGGGAATGTAGAGTCAAACACACCATTGCCTCTTTGTTACCCTATTCCTTCCGTGCTGAATGCAGCCCAAAACATCTGTGGGACAGACATGCAGATGGAGAAGTGAAAATGAGGTTGACCCAAAGCAGTATTTCCCCGCAAAAGCAAGAAGAGAGGCACAAATCATCAAACTACTGCTTCCAATGTGGGAAAGAAGCAGAGACACACTAGTACAGTAGGGGGAAGAGGGATTTGTGGCACGATCAGCTGAAAGCAAACTCTGCTTGGAAAATTCTTTATGGAAGTTTTCCACCCCAGTGAACCCAGACTGCAGTTCTCTGCCCAAATTTCTCTTTCCAGCTGAGATGACATGGCTCCTTTGGAGGGATCCTATCAATGCCACAGGAAAGTCCAGGTTTTTTTCTTGTGAATAAAGGGTTTGCTTTTTCATACATTAAGTTCAGCTGCCTCCTGTCTCCAGAGTACCATTCTCAAGATCAATATTGCTTCCCTCTGTGATATGAACACCCTCAGTCCTTGCTGAAGCACACCTCTTATCTTTCAATCCTTTCTTCATAGCTCTGAGACACTTGAGCTGCTGACACTTTGTTCTGTCTAGCAATAAATAGCATTGATTGAAGCCCCTTTTAGAGTATGTAGTGGTAAACTTTTCACAAATTTGCTGCCTGTTCATATTTCTTGACCATAAGTATACAACTTACTGATTTTTTTGACTCCTCACCTATTGCCAGCTGCAAATCTTCTCCAGACGGAACAACTGTCTCCTGCAGATGTGAGGCACTGGGGTTTGCAGTCCTTACAGGCAAACGTGGTTGAAAGGCTGGTATTACACAAGTCAAAACTGAGCTGATTAGTTATGTCCCCCATGATTCCAGGTAACTCGGTTTCTTTTGGGGTTGTTTTATTTTGTTTCCCATTGAGGACAGAGGAATTTTTGCTCAGACTTTCCACAGGCAGGAACCACAGTCCTGCCTGCCTCCTGGCTGAGCAGACATTCAGGACCTTCCAGGAAGCTGCTGCCTTTCTAAAATGTAGTTTGTATGTGTTTCCTCAATTCAGCTTTCATGTTTAAGACTTGCCTAGCAGATTGTGCTTTGCGCTGGAGATCAGTAGCACTGGTGACATCTCCTCTTCTGTGTTTTCAGGCATGCAGGAAGAATCTATCCCTCCAAATAGGCTCTGCAGTGTACTTACAGGGAACTTGTTGCTGTGCATAGCCGATGTCTTTTGGCAATGATTACAGTAATTGATTCCAGTGTAGTAACTAGCTCTGGCAGTGACAGTTTTCATCTATTGTTGCTTAGCACAATCCTACCTGTTCTTTTTTGCCTGCTTCATGGTACAACTGCCCTGGATGCCTTTTTCAGCCCTGACAAGAACAAAGCCCCTTGCTTTCATCCTTGCATTTTGGCTTTCAAAACACTTTTCAACAGTAGCCTTTGTACTTCGGCCAGTGTTTAGGTATTCATGCCATTATACATTCTTCAAAAGTACCAATGAATGAAGTAGGAGGTTGGTAACAGCTGACTCCCCTCTTTCCACCCATTTGTTCACTGAGTGAGAAGTATTATCTTGTGCTGCATCATGAGTGTTTCATGAGCTCCTCAAGGCTGTTGCCAACACTGGAAGCTGGGCCAGAGGCAGGTAGTCTTTTTTTTCACTCATCATTGTCCCACAAAACAGGCAAGATCACTACAGAGCATCTGAGAGGTTTCTGAACAAGTGCTAGTTCATCTAGCACTAGCATCTATCATCTAGTTCTGCCATACACACAAGTATAATTTCATTTTCCTCCTCCTGTAAGTAACTTCAAAAATAATTACACAAACCTGTAGTGCAGTTCAGTGACCTTTTACGCTTTTTTTTCAGGGCTTCTAACTTGTACTTCCTTCTTTCTGAGATTGTGACTTCTCTAAGTTAAATTTAATTGGCACAAATATAAGGTAAAACTAACTTCTACTCATCTTTACCCACAAATTCATTCTAGATGAAAACAGTAACCAAATCCTGTGTACTGTGGTGTAGCCCATCTTTATTTTCTGTAAGCACCTGAATTCTCCCTCAACTTATAGTATTCTCTTATGCTGACTTTCTACTGACACTGCCCATTTTAATCAAAATTAGACTGCAGGCTGGAAAGATGTTGCTTTAAGTGCATTACAGAGCAAAGGGAGGACTGCTGCCTGCACAGGAGGCCAGGAGGAGCAGAGGCACAGCCCTGTCCATGCAGTGGACAGGCTCACCTTGTGATCAGCACTCCACTCAGGAGAAGAAGAGGCGGCTGACAGAGACAGAATTAAACAAACCCATCCTCCAGGAGAGGTCAGGCAGCACACAAAGGCTCTGCTTCAGGGCAACACCAAACTTAGAGGCATTGAACAACTTGTTTGGGAAGCAGTTCCAGCCAAGCCAAGTCTGGGGTACCTGAGCCATGTGTTTCTTTCTGCACTGACCTCCTGCACCTAAGTCAGTAATTGTGCAACTGTGTGGGGCATTGGTTCAGGGAAATGAAATAAATGAGTCTTAACTTTACTAAAACACTGATTTGCCTTCAGCCAGGTTAGTCTCCTGATCTAGCCCATCATGCAGTCAGACAGCGCTAATGTTGTTAACCAGAGAGACAATGGGGGAAACATGCAGCTGCAGGTGGAGGGAAAGGCAGCAGCCCAAGCTTTAATCAGATTTAATTTCTGTGGAACTGCAACTTTAGTCATTCAAGTGAACTCATGCTGTTCCTTAGTGTTATCATATATTGGTTTTAATAAGATTTTTATACATTTAGATACAAATCAGGGAAGAAAACCCCAAACCTGTGTCTCATGCTGTGAAAACCAGTCATGTCTGCTTGATGCTGCTGTGACCTGGTCCACTGTTTGCAAAATCAAGACTCCTGTTGTTAATGTTCAAAATCTAGCACTTACTAATGCTAAGTAGCATATTGCATTGCTATCTATTCTGATAAGACTAACTTCCACCCAGCAAAAAACCCCACAAACCCATAATAAAGGTAGATTTACACACTAGACTCTGCGGGCTGTGCATTTGCTGCCAGTCTCACAGCAAAGAGTTGAAAGAACAGTCAGGGAGCTTTCCTGTATGACAGATCAATCTCTTCTGTGGTCACAAGCACCAGCTGTTTTTTCATATAAACTCTGTTTCAGAATTGACAGAATTAAAGGGTGATAAATAAAATCAGAAAAATAAGTGAATAAAAAGAGATGGGGAAGAAAATATTTTCCTGTCAAAGCTCAACATTAAAGACATGAAGGTTCAAGAAAGTAAGATAGCAGGAGCTGAAAAAAATGCCAAACATACTGTAGGTCAATACCTCACTACAGGTGAGTGAATATTTTATGGATTACTGAATTTCTGAAGGCTGTGTGGAGCCATCAACGTATAGTGTAATCTGTAAGATTTGCCTAGTTGTTTCTACTGCAAGCACATGATTTTTCATTGACTAGAGCATACGTTTAGAAAAGGACTCTAGAACTGATTTAAGGATTTCAAGTGATGCTGAACCACTGTGCCTCTAGGGTGATTGTTCCAGTGGTTTCCCAGCCTCTGGGTTAAGCTTTCACATTTCCAGATGGAATGTGTTTGGCTTTAGCTTGCAAGTACTTAAGGAAGACTTCTATCCCAATGGGGTTTAAAGCTCTTCAAAAGTTTTAAAATACATTTATACAGAAAATTGTCTTCTACTTCCTCTTTAAATGCAGCCACATTGATGGTGAGACACAAGCATTTCTTCCAGCATGAAACAGCTGTACCTACCACTTGAGCTAAATACTCAGGAAACAGCCAGAGCTGCCAGGAGTAAGGGAGAGGATGATTTAGGAAAGTAGAATGTGCTTAAGAAGCCAGTAAGTTTTATAGTAACACTCGTAAGAAAAGCATCTTGGACACAAAAACAAACAGTTCTGGTCAGGAGCTTTAGAGTGGCCTTATCTAAAAGATAATACAACTCCAGCTGCTGGCTGAACTGTAGCAACACATGACAATTTCAACCCTTTGACATTTCTGGTGCATCCTGCGGCGAAGAGTTTTACTAAAAAGTTGTCAACCTAGGGTGTCATCTTTGGCACGACAACCTCACATCTGATAGCCTAGCTCTGGACAGCACAGTCACACAATTAATGAAGGCACAATCTTCAATAATATCTATACAGTAATGGTACCTTTTGTACATGTCTTTGATGGGAGTTACTGATAAGGCCAGATCTCAGACTTTGTTATCCAGCCATGACTTTTAAGTGTGACTTCACAGCATGTAATGAATCTGAAGAGGCTGTTCTACCACTGTCATCATGGATATGGCTGAACTGCCATTACACTAATAATAATGTATGTTACAAGATCTCTCTTTTAGTGTTTCAGGAGGAGGTTATCTGTCTCAATTAAAGAGCAAGAGTTAGGTGAGAAAAAGGAGGAAAAAAATACAGAGGAATAAAGATCAATGTGTCTTTTCCCTGGAATTTATGTTTTTCGTTTGTGCAAATGATCCAGAAAAAGACAATGGCTGAGAATTAAGTTTATTTTAAGAGCTCTCCAAATATGAAACTATTGATTGGTTTGAAAGAAGGTTACAAACAAAATCAAGCTGTCATTTGTAGCTCAGTGAGGCCCTGCTCTTTGAATCCTTTTCCAACAAGGCTGTCTTTTTCCTTCAGTGTCCACCTTGCAGGCACTCACTCTTGGAAGCAGCGAGATAGAGATTGTGACCATCAGTATCAGTTCCCTTAAAGATGTAACCTGGTGGGTCTTTGTAAGAGGCCAAGCATCTAACAATGCCTTTTGGTGTGTAGCTGGTGGCATAAATGGTTTTAGCATCTAGCAGAGTGTGATGCTTTGGGCCTGACCAGTCAGGTTTATAGCTCTTCGTAACTGTGAGTGGATGAGGCACATAATGGCTCTGAAAGGTAGTCAAGCAATCCATTGGTTTTGCTGGGAAAGTCAGCTCCGGAGCATGAGTAAGAGGTTTTAGTCTCTTGCACAGCCAAGGCTTATAGTCTTCCTTCATTACAGAAGAGCTATTGAATGGCTCAGTACTTTTTTTAAGCTGGGCGGGAGATCGACACATCTTGGCCGGCTTGCCATTTGAGTGCTTGTAATGTATCTGAGTAGTGGTGTGAAGGTCCATCTTCTCCAGAGGAGGAAGATATACATCAGGTTTTTTAGTGAATGCAGGAGACCATGGCCAAGCTTGGTATTTTTCCTGAAACTCAGTTGTAGAGGAAAATGGTAGATCATGGAGAAGCTTTGGCTGGTATGGTTTTGCCAGCTTGGCTGGCTGACCAGCCAGCCCCTTGTAAGAATCCCTGTGGATAGTGAGGCCATCGAATGGGATTTCATTGACTTTGTATTTCTCATATTTATGGAAGTAACATTTTTCCAGATGATGTGGCACATAATTCGCTCTATAATTGGTTATATTCTCGAAGGGAGCCTTGCTTTTCTGGACCAGATTCAGAGGTTTGTAGCTTTGAGTCGCAACTGGCCCCCTGTAAAGATAGTCACCCTGGACAATGGTTCTGTGGTCAAATTTTTCTTCTGATGGGCGAAACTTGTCGTTTGGTCTGATCAGCTCTGTCTTTGGTTCATTCCATAGCAGATAGTCATCTGAAACATAAGAGGAATCCTATCTAAGTGCTCAACTGAAGTTCTTTGGTGAGTTTAGGCATATACCCTATTATGTTTTGATTATTACATTTTCTACTGTAATAAATATTTGTTGATGTTGTAATGATTGACAAATCCTATTGAAAGAGCTGGTGTAGAACACACTATTACACCAGTGTGCTAACCCCTGGAAATGCTTAGCATCTACACAGAAAATGGAATGAAAATAGTCCTGCACCTGCCCTTACCTACAAAGGTGGTGAAATATGATGTGGAAAGATTAAATTGCATTCTCAGTCTTGCAGAGACATTTTCTGCATGTGAATGAATGAGTGCTGTCCTCATGCTCAGTCAACCAGAAATCATGACAGTGGAATATCACGGCACTGACTTCGACTCCCTTCATTTACCTTCCTGCAGCTATGCTGTGGCTGGCTCCGAGCACAGGCAGAGTATCCCTGTGTCTGCAGAAGGTTGTTCAGGTGTCTCCCACCTCTCTCTTGTCTCTGGGGCAAGAAGAACCAGGTGTCCACCATTGCACCCTCAAGGCCAAGTTGTAGAGCTATCCTTCCTCTTTGTACTTTCTCATTTGGGGATGACCCGATTTCTCAACTACACAGATGTAATGCTACCTACTGTTTGACAAGTTCAGGGTTTTGCCACTCATCTTGGTGTCAGCAAGCTGTGCTGCGTGACATCTCCTCTGCTCTTGGCTTTGCTGTCTGTGGTACTCCTGCTGTCAGTATGAGCAGGAAGCAAGAAGGAGCTTGTAACTCTGCCTCCAATTCTTCCTTGTTAGAAAAACTGCTGGAATTTGCAGACCAAGCCTACACTGATCTGAAGCATTGAATCGTATCACAGAGATGGTCCATACTCTAGAAATCTTGCTATCCAAATTCGTGACTAATAAAATAATTTAGGTAGCATTTTAGAGATTCCTTTCTTGGCAGGATACCAGGGGAAAAAAAATGAGGCACTGAGGCTTAAAATTATTTGCAGTCAGTCACACTAGAAATCTATTGCAAAGCTGCCTAACTTTCCGACCAGTGCTGCAGCCACAAGACCATCGTTTTTTCCCTTCCTACTAATCTTGTGCAACTTCCCCTAGAGAGCATTATGGTTACTGGCAGGAAGTTGAAATGAAATAGTCTTGGAGCTAACCCAAGTCTTTTTTTCTTTTTTTTTTTTTTTTAATTTTCCCTCCTTTCAAACCACATTGAAAGCCATGAGGCAAATAAGCTTCCAGCTGACTCTGCAAAGGAAGGAAGTCTGGATTTCAAAGTACTAGAAAGTAAATGATGCAATTAGGTATCAGAACATTTGAACTCTCCAATCCAAACAGTTATTCCTTTGGAATGGCAATGGCTATTGTACTGCACAAACACAATTACACAAAGGATGTGTTCATTACAATGTTAAATTGACCCCAAAAAAGTAACTTTTTGCCCCGATTAGGTGTCCATTTAAAGTCCTTCTGGTTCAAATCAAGTTGCTCTGCCCTGGCACAAAAGAGGAAGGAGCAGCCACAGGTGCCGTGCTGCTCCCAGCGAGCACCCTGGCCCTTGGGCACAGAGCTGTCCTCGTGCCGCTAATTAGTGTAGTCAGCTGAGAACATGGGCCTGCCTGTGTGCACCAGCATAGACATTCCTTTGCCACTGTTGGTGCTACTGGAGCCCAGGCTGTGTGCCCTGCTAGTGCCAAGGGTGTCTAAATGCTCCAGGTGCTCCCGTTTCTGTGGGGGAATAGGAGATGCCCAGGCACTACCACACTGGTGAGATGCTGACCTTGTGCCCATGCCTAGGGTACAGCATTTTCCTGGAGAGATGGTCCAGCAGGGTGAACCACAAGTATATAAAGACACGTCCTTCCTGGGAATGTATTAAAGTGTTAAAAAGTGAGAAGCTAATGAGATTCAGCCCATCTCTTAGCAAGGGCTCGTTCAGAGATCTGACATTTCAGATGCCAACCAAGAGTTACCACAATACTTTTTAGGTTCTCCCATCATCTTTGCTTGAAAATAGTCTGCATTTTGGATGTAATCATAGCTTTTGCAAAATATTCAAAATATGACAAGCAAGTCCATCTGTCTCCAATTTTAAAAAACTACAAGCTCTACACATTTGGAGACCTCACAGGCATTATGAACTTATTTTACTTAGTGTAAGTCAGCAGTGCTACTATTCCTTCAAAATATGTTACAATTTTATTGTAACTCTAATTCTTCTCCCATAGATATTAATAGTTTCCCATGTAGCACAATCTTGAAAACATTAGGGGGTACAGGAGGGAATGGAGGATATGAACCATATGTTATTGGGTTAGGGACATCTCACTATAACCAAGCAAGACACAATGAAAATTAGATTACATACCTGCAGATGGATAGAAACAGCTACGTGTGTGGCTTGGAGGAGATGAGACTTTTGAAACCTTAAGTTGCAAAGTCTGACATTAATTGTGATATGCAATGGCATCATCTTAAACTTACAGTGTCATTTGGGATATGGTGTGTCTTTATTGTGAAGGAGTATGACAATACAGTAGGAAAGGTAATTTAATACCAATGCAGCACTGTTCTATATGCTGCTTAAATATTTGAATTAGATAATTAATTGAATAACATGTTTCAAAATTTCACACTTGAGTAGTGATCAATAAAACCTAGCAATGAGAACATGGGCCTTTAGAAGGGAATTCATTCAGTATGTTACTTGATCTTTGAGTGGGTTTGGATGAAGATTTCCATTTGGAGTGTTTTGAAAAATACTGGAAATTATAACCAAATGTGGCTGTGATACATTTTACTAGAGCTCTGGAGTTACAATTAAGGTGCTGACCTAAATATGGATAAAAGACAAAGATATACATCTGGTTCAGATACAGAGAAGTTAAGGCTATCTAAACACAGAAGGAAAGAACCTCTGCGTGCGCAAAGCAGCATTTTTTTATTGGCTTCATTGAAGCTATTCCAATGAATACCATCTGGTGACATTGCCTCTGCAAAACAAAGTGTTCAAAATAGTGTAAACGTGGGTATTTTGCACCTGTGGGTCATAGTCTTCATGACTCAAGTCATTCTAAATGGACAGTATTTCCTGTGTGCTTTCTAGTTTATGCTGTTGCAAACATGCAGCTGCACTAAAGTCTGACTTTCAGTCATGCATTCACATACCTTTTATTTCCTTACTTCCTTTATCATTTTGAGTTTTAGGAAAAAAGTTGTTTCTGAATACTGGGACAAATCTCAATGCCACCACCAATCATAACCTTTTATATTTGCACAGTAAAATAAAAATTAAAAAACAAAACAACAAAAAAAGAACTATTTTAAGAAATACACAAATGCTAGCTATCTGCCTAGCTACATTAGCTAGCTGGAAGGTGTGCAGAGGGGAGGCAAAATCCTCTGATTTTCTACTTATGACTTACTACCAAAACTAGCGGAGTTACTGATGTTTTCTCCCCGTGCGTGCAGAAGATATTCATGCTGGTGGAGAGGGAGGAACAAAGCCTCCACAAAGACAAACCATCTACACCAAGTTACTGCTACTGGGCATAGTTAGATGCACATAACAAGGGCATAGTTAGATGCACAGTTCACCTGTTTTACCAGGAAGAGAGCGTGAGTGCTTTAGACATTTGCGTGGAACTTCTGTATGTACAAAATTCCCATATACATCTCTTGCACATCCACAGATTAACTCTGCAGCACACACAAAAAGGGTCCCATGCTTCATGACCTGCTCAGACCTAGCAAATTCTACATATTTCAGGTGTGTCTGATCCACAGCATGTGTGGACCAGCCCTGCAGTATACCAAGAGTATGGTCAGTATATCCTAAAGATGATGCTGCTGGACCCCCTTGCAGGAGTTCACATGGCTCTGCTTCTACCTAGGATGCCTGTAGGCCTGTCAGACATCCAAAGGAGGTGAATTCAGATAGATGCTACCATCAGTGTAGGGCTTTATTCCCAACAATTTGTGTCTGTGTGCTTCCTGCACAGCTTGTTGGTCTACAGAGACAGAAGGAATAACAACTGCATGCTGTTTTGATCTGTCTGCTTAAAAAATGAAATTACTGATGAAGTCCTGAAAGAAGCTGCAAGGGCACATACCTTCATAAGTGGTTCTTGTATCCATTTTGGTGCTGGGGATATGTCTCATCACACAAGGGATACATGGAGGTCCTCGAGAGATAGGGTAGGAGTTATAATCCTGTTTATAAGTGGAGGTCAAATCCATACTCTGATCACTCTTGACATGCTTCTCAGGTGGTTTAAGTTTCTGTGGCAACACTTCATGAGCTGTGTAATCCCTCCTGTGAAGAATAATTTCACTATGTCTTTAGTCTTAAGGAAAAAATGATGTTCCTTTTTCTGAACACATGAAGAAATTAATACTTCCCCTTATCTCCACTGCCTAAGAAAGTCTGGATAGGATACAAGCGGTTAATGAAACACACAAGCCTTTCACATTTGGAAACCTGGACTCTGAAAAAGAAACTGAGGAAGCTCTGGACAACCTCGGGCAGGCCAGGTTCCCCCTTCTCTCCACCAAGAGAGATTTACACAAAGCTATCTCTGTTCTACAGTGGCGTTACATCAGAAGACATAACTCCTTTTAAAAGCCCCATAATTATAGTAGGCTATCTAATATGTATGGGAAACATGAGAGAGACAACAATAGCTTTCCCAGACAATACAATGTACAGCAGTTCAGCCCAGGATGGGGAGATAACAATAGAACAGTTTTACAGCAAAACACCACTTGAGGAAAGAAACATCAGCATGGTCAGTCAGTCAGCTTTTTCTCAGGTAGTACTGTAAAAGAGCTTTTTTGAGATACTGGACTAGTATTACATAACTCCAACAAAATATTACAGAAACAAGATGGAGAATAAAATAACATCACCATCTGACATTCACTAACCTGAGCCTATTTCACTGCCCACATGCTTTGGTACAGGGTAGAGACGCTGTTGCCTGGCACCAGCAAATTCAGTCTCTAATGTCAGAGTACTTTTCCACTGGTGTGCAGATCTGTTTACACCATTGACAGGTGGCCAGGAGAAATGGTCAGTACAGGAGCTATTCTAACATTGATGTTGCACTCTGCATCCTGAGTGATGCTGGGTGGGCAAGAGCCTGAGCCTCTGAATATACTGTATTAGTTACATATTTAACAAATAAACAAGGTTCTCACAAATCTGCGTAGAGCAGAAGGGAAGAGAATTCACATTGCAAAGTATTAGGTATGGGGGTAAAACCAGAAATACCAAAGTAAAAAAAAAAAAAAATCCAAGAACATCAAGATGTACTTATGTAGTTATCACACATGTTGTAGTCCCTTGGCATACTTTTGTCAGCAATTTAAAGCCAATGCGTTTTCTAAGATGGGCCAAGAAAAGACAAGCAGGGATAAAACAGGCATGCAGCATCCTCAATAACAGGGTGGGCTCAGAAACAGAGGGTCTTTCCCAAGCCACTCACAGTACGCTGCACAATCCCACACTTGAAACAGCTGAGGCTGTACCAGAGGCTAGTAACAGATCACAGGCAGGCAACTCTTCACCAGTGTGATCAAGGGTTTTCTGGCAGTGAGAGTACCTTTTCCCACTCTGACTATTGTGATACAACAGAACCTGCAGTGAAGATTACAGAGGAGAGATTGATCTGCTGATAGATCAGTGGCAACATGTATCCAAGATGCCATGAAAAATGGTACTGCCTGCAACTCCCAGACTTTATCCAGAGGGCTTGCTGTTGTTATATGACAACATTCAGTGAAGTGTTATTAGACTAGTGACAACTCAGTATTTGCTGGCCTCACAGTCCCTGCAGTTATTCTCATACACTCCGCCAATTCATTCTGTCTTGAGTTTAGCCACACAGCCAGAGCTTTTAGCAGCCCTCTCCTAGGTGGTGGCACTTTTCCACTAGGCCTCAGTGCTTTCATGCTGAGCATATTTTCTCAGTGTTGCGCAGAGGACAGCAAGACTTGCAATATGGTGGCTAACTATTCAGCCTCTTGTATTCTGCACTTTCTTACTAGTCTGCTTTTCAGAAGTTGTACTGAACTCCAGGAGTAACAGCCACTGTGGGAATCACCAGCCTTGTCTGAGCAAAGGCAGTTTTGCTGACTGAACAGGAAGTTTCTAAGGACTCCTTGACAAACCCCCCCATGGTGGCTGCCCCTCCTCAGCTGCCTTAAGAGGATGCCAAGCCCATTTAGTTATAGGCAGTCACAAAGGTGTCTAGCTGCTTCATCTCATGCCAGAAATGGAAGGCATATATAGAAGTGAAGCTGGCTCTTTGAAACTCTCTCATCCTTTTGGTTGTTACTGAAATCTCTCACATAGGCATGCATCCCAAATGTAAGTCAGGCATTTCAGACTTCATCAGCCACATTTGTGATTTAAACTAACAACTCTTAAAAATACATAGGTAGGGGAAGGAGTTAGCAGAGCTTTCATGTCAGGATGAGAACAAATGGTTGGCATTAGCTGATAACATTTTATTAATAGCCATTGGCATCTCCTAGGTCTCTAATTCAGTTCAGCAAAGGCAAGAGTGGTGTTGCTCATGATTGTGTCTGTGATGACAAAGGAAGTAAACATCAAGATGAGACAGCAGCCACTGTTTAAGGAAAGGGGAAGTCTCAGATTCATATTAAAGGATGAGATTCCTATTTTTTATGAGTTTTTTCTGTGGACAAGCACTTAGCACATCACTCTACCAGCAGCAAGGAAGAGCCTCAGAAGTTACTTCCATCAGGGAAATGGGCACAGTGCAAGTGTGAGGACTACTGCCTAACACCAACACTGAGCAACAACATAGTTGAGAAGCAGAATCAGCCCAGCAATCCACAGTGACTAACTGCCTTGAGCAAATCACCCACACCCTCTTTCCAATCAGCAAGTTCTATCATATTCACACCTCCTTGGAAACCAGTCACTCATGTTACAGTGTACAAAGTGCCACACAAAACACAGAACAAAAGAAAAATACTCGTCCAGTATCATCCATACTTTCCCAGACAACATTTCTGCTCGTTTCCCAGAAGCCTTCCCAAAACAGAAAGTGAACAAAAGCCAAGACCATGACTGTGCTTCTATGGCCCATGTATTCTCTGATCAGATCACATCTCAACCTCCAGGAAGTGCAAAAAAAAAAAAAAAAAAAAAAAAAAAGCTACTTGACTCCACTACAACTGGTCTTAGACCTTCATCCCTCCTTCCAAGAGCCCTCCTGACTGTTCGTACAACTGCAACATTGTTCTTTCAGGCCTCCCTTGTGAAAACCAATCATTTTTCTTTTTGCTGGTACCCATCTCTCACCACACATTATCTAAGTCACAGTCCTCATTCTCTTTCACTATTTTTCATACTTTGTGGTCGAGGTGCCTTCCATGGGTATCTGTGCCATCTTGTATGCTTCCTTTGGATTAAATGAGCCTCTGGGAAGAGTGTTGGGATAAAGTGGGTATCGTTCCATGTACTCTGACACCATGCATGGCTTCTCATTCTTCTCACAGGGCCTGGTGAGCAGATGTGGACAACGGTGACATCTGCATGGGAAAAAAAACAGCACAGGAGTTGGTGCCTCACAGGTAGCTGATTAATACCTCACTGTATAAGTCGGCTGCAGATTGCAATGACAAAATAGTGGAGAAGTGAACATTGCAATGACTGCTACAGCCTTGATTATTTAAAGTGCAAAAGCATAACTTCTTGCACAAAGAAAGGGTTGTTTCTGTCTACTACTATAGCCTGCAGTCAAAAAAGTATGTGAAGCCAACAAAAACAGCCTAAAAAAGGCAAGTTCACCTAGATGAAGAAAAAAGCAAGTTAATTGGAGATACAGCCAAGTGCGCCATATTGTTCTGGACTAGAAACTCTATTTAATGTCCCTTTTGTTCCATTTCTCATAAATTTATTATCCTACCTTGCCTACATATTGGCAAAGTGGTAAACGAGTGAGAAAAAGGTAACAGTTCGGGAGTCTCTATTCACTCACACTTGGACAACACTGCTCTGCCCATCTCTTTTTGAAAACAATTCAGTCTGGGTACTGCAAGACCTCTCCATAATTTGCACCAAAACAAGGACACAGAGAACAAAGCAATTTTCTGAGGAAGCTCCCTCCCGACTGAAACCAAAACACCACCATGGATCGTCCATCATTGGTGACCTCCTTCTTTCCACACTGGCACCAGGCCAGAGCAGGGTGGGCAAGGCTCATCCTGTCAAAAAGAGATTTGGGATCCCACCCTCAGATTTCTTCCCAGAGGCATAACATTTTATGTCCCTTTCCAGTTTGAGTCAAACCCACTAGAGTCAATGTAAAGGTTGCTGATTAAGGACTTCAAGAACCAGCCCACACGAATTACAGTGAGAGGAGGAGGCCTCTGGGTTTATGTCTCATACATCATTCCTGCCAAAGTCAGTGTTTTCCCTACTGGATGTACCTTTTCCAGCGCTACATCTAGTGCAGAGCTGAATTACTCATTTGAAAGGGCTTCTATACTTAAGAAAGTCCCCACTAAATTAAATGTTGAGCAATCTAGTATCAGTAAATGTCTGATTACCTAAATTTATACAGATAACTTCTGGTCTACATTCAAGGGTACAACTTCACATACTGAATCATTTTCCAAACTAGAAAAAAAAAAAAAAAAAAAAGGAAGAAGGTCCCAGAGGGCTCAAATAAAATTCAGCATCTTTTTGACAAGCCAGTTTCTCACTCAGATTACAAATCCTTCTGTGAAATCATAAATCATGAGGAGTCCTAGTAGATTCATTTTTGTCTCAGAGAAGTTTTGAGTTTTGACCCAAAGGGAATCTTTACAGGGAGTAAAGCAGACTATGCCTGCCAGTTAAAGTATTAGAAGAAAAGACTTCAGGATGAAAATCTAAAAATAAAAAAAAAAAAGTCCCACCCTCTTAGGAACCTTATAAAATTCCAGTTTTCACATAATTGGAGGAGAGGCAAACAGGAAAATGAAAAAAAGACTAATATGCTCACTCTCGCTGGTACACGTGACCTTGCTGGAATGCACTTTGTGACAAAAACCTTCCCAACACAGTGGCCACACTTGTGGTCTTCCAGCATTCCTAGGAATTATTCCTCATTATCCAAGGAAAAATGATCTGCCTATTCTTTCTTCTTCAAATCTGCTGGCTTCACACGACCCCTAAGTGCACTTTCATCCCGCTACTCTCTTAAAGTCTATGATGCAGCAAGCTAGTCTTCAGCTTGGCTTTGGAGTGTGCTGATGAGGCCCTTGTGTTAGCTTTTTATGGTAAAACTGCACTCTGAGTGGGGGAAATAGCTATACTATCTAGTTCATCACGGCCCTGCATATGGTGCAGACGCTGCCTAGCAGTAGCATTTTGCAAATAAGGAACGGCTGATCAGGAGCAAATTAATGACACTTCGCTAATACCATGTTAGTATGCCATTACAGCTCAGCTGCACGCACAGGGTTCGGAGGGGCTCGCTTGCAGCAGCAGGTTTCCCAAGCAGTCCAGAGCAGAGGCTTTGTGCAGCTCACTGACCCATATCAGGCAGGCTCTCTGCTGCAGACACATTATCTCACATCCTGATAGACATTTGTGAGACAGAGTCCTGCACCTGCCCAGTAGTGCTGTTGGCAGTGGGGAAGGTGAGGCGTCCTGTGGATCAGCAGGACAAGGATGGGTAATGCAAGTACCCCTCCAAAGACCCCACAGGAGCAGGCAGGGAACAACAGATCGTGGAACCTACGTTTTTCCCCTTGCAGATAGTGCTGGCAGCATGAGTGCTGGGGGACTTCTCAACAGACCAGGATGGGAAAAAGGCCAGGATCTCCTGCAGATAGCAGCAGCCCCAGCTGCCAAGCTCTTCACCCTAGCCCCAAGTTAAGCCTTCAGCATCATCTGACAACACAGGTGGCTTTACACTTCAAGTATTCACCCACTTTTCATGTGTACAATTCTGCTTTCTTTGTTGAACTTCGGAGCACACCCCACCAACAACAGAATGAGATATTTCAGAGTTAGCTCTTGGAAAAAGCACTTTCCCACAAATAAATCCTTCCTGACAGGGCAGAGAAGTAAACCTGAATGCTTTCTCTTCCATTATTTTGCAGTAAATTGCGATGTACGCCCACAGATTTTACAGTAACACTCACTGTATTACAGGCTATGCACAGAAAATAATAATCAGTGATAATTTACCACCAATATAGGATACTATAAAAGTTTTGCTTCTGCATCCAGAGAGACATTCCTGAAAATATTTTTTACTGGAGACTAATGTAAATAACAGAGCAAGACTCTTAACAACAAGGAGAGGAACAATGCTAGACTTCAAAGGTTTGCTACACTTTACCACTCCTTCTGGCACGATAAATATTTATAAAACTACATGATTCTTCAGTACTGAAGTCACTGCTATATGACTCCAGCAAGCTGGCAGTTAATGTCAGAGCTAAACAGTTAAAATTACTGTATAAGTGTTTTGATATTGCAGTTGTCTGTTTCTAAAAACTGATGAGGCTTAAATTTTGACATTTGTTGTGCTTGCCTGCATATTGGGAGGATTGGGGGGGGGGGTGTTGGCTAATTCTGCTCTGATTTTCACTTGTGAAAATTTCACTTTACTTGATTGAGGTCTATCAAGTTAGCCTGGCCGATGTTAGTAATAAAATATAACAACAAGGAAGCACATAGGGGGTTTTGTTTACTAGGAATTAAGGAAGAATAGCAGACTCTTTGAGGGTACAAAGAATGCAGGTCCTCAGAGTTGGGTTCATCTAAATAAAAGCTGAGATGAAATGTGAACAATTTATCAGCTTACATTAAATACGTGTTTAAACCAGGAAGAACAACCTGGAGCCACAGCTCAGGACCAGAATTCAAGTCGTTTGAATTCAATTTCTGCATTCACCACAGTCTCCCTGACCAGCACAGCTCTCTTCTAACTAAAGATAAAATAGAGCCTTCTCCAGAAGAGAAAGAGGAGGAATACTGTAAGATTTATGAATTTCTCAAGATAAGCCTCTCAGACTTACCTGATTTTTTTAAATGTCTGTGATTAGTACTAACAGATTATCACAGTTGGCCTAAAATGCAAGTGGAACGGTAAGAAAGTTTTGCTATTGAAATCGTAATTTATCCCAGTTATGTGGCTTACTACTGGTAATTACTGTTTGTAGAGGTCACGGATGCTGTGACTTGAGTGTTACTGCTTGAGAGAAAAAACATGAGGCTCAGAAATGGCTGAACTGTTATTCAGGAGAATTTAGTTTTCCCTTGTAAAAAACACTGGTCTTCAGACTAATCCTCACAGGGAAAAGCAACATGTCCTTGATCACATAATCTACTTTTTGTACCATCTCTAATTTCCATGAGTGGTCAGATTAAGTCAATATTAGAGAAATCTCTAGTTTAGGAGGAATCATGGTGCTGTCCAAAGAACAACAGAGATGTAAAAATGTGCCAAAGAACTGCGGCAGGCTCTAATAGCAGGAACTGATTGCCAACAGTCAGGCTGCAGAGAAAATCCCTGAAGGTGAGCCTGTATTTGTGCAAATCTCTTCTCTTTCAAGCAATGGAGATGCAATCAGAGGCCCAGCTACCCGACTGAGTTACAAAAGGATGGATGACAGATTAGAAGTTTGTGAAGGGAAGAAGAGCATCCATGTGCAAGGTATCAAAGTATATCACATATAAATATTGAATATGGTAATAATATCAGGAAAATGAAAACACATTGTGGACAGGGGCATATGGAAATTACAAGGTTCTGCTTCTCGATGGTGAACGGTTTTGAAACAAAAAGTAAATGCACAATAAAAGCAAGAGATCCCTTGAGAGAAGTTCAAAGTCCATGTGATCATAACAGTACAAAAAATGTTAATCTGAAACCTTTGGAAGGTTAAATGTAATTCCCACACAGCTCAGAAGCTTTTTTTTGTGTGTGTGTCAAATCAGAATGCTGAACTCTGGATGCCAAAGTTCACTTTTTCCCCAACAAGTACATTCACCAAACATTAGAACAGATAGACCAGTAATCACCTCAAAATGGATAAAAGTCACAGTGGAGAAAGAGAGATTTGACACATTTGCATGCACAGAGTCTTCACTGTGATTTCAGACAAAAGTTTGAAAAAAGGGAAACATATATTTGGAGACATATAGTGCTCACCAGTGCCAAAAGAATGAAATATGCGATTGCTTGGTCTTCCAAATTCACCCTCATCAGAATGCCACCACTGGGAATCCAGGACAACTGGAAGGAGGACGGTAGCCTGGAAGAGGACAGAACCCTGGGGGGTTTGCTATTTACATGTCATTGTGATTGTGCCCCCTTCAAAAGCTGCACAAAGTCATTATGGTCATCCTTTTTCACTGACCTAGTGAACTCTGAGCGCACTATACTCCTCATGACCACTCTTGCCTTTATTCACACTTTTTATCCTGCTTTCCACATGTGCAATCAAGAAAAGAAAATCTTTGATATAATCTTCCTACTAATCTCATCTCAAATAACCCTCAATGAACAGGAAC